AGACAAGTTGCAAAAAAAAGTTTTTATAATAATAATAATAATAATAATAATAATAATAATAAAAAAAATAATAATATGTGGTATTCATATAGCGCCGATATCCTCTGAGAAAAAAAGCGCTTCACATGTATAGATCATTTAGCAAAAGTATTAGGTAAAAAAAAAAACTTGTTCGTGGAAATCCTGCATGAACCCTGGCATTCATTAAAAAAAAATTCATGTATTTTTTCATTTCCCAGATTGACGCCCCCTCTTGAAAAAAATAGTCCAAGCAGGGGACAGTACACCCCTCCATCTGAAGGCAGAAAAAAAAGATTATTTGAAGATGACGGTATTACAGCTAAAGTGGGTGTTAAAAAAAAGAACCTGCTGGATGTAAGCTTTTTGACCATTGAAATTTGTTAAAAAAATTTTGTTGGTAGCAATTTTTGTGGTAATTTTGTTCTTAGAGAAAAAAAATAAAGAATTAAGTAACTTGTAAACTTTTATTCAGTACACTGAAAAAAAATAACTAAGCATCTCTTCAGGAGGATATGACAAAATATATTCTAAAAAAATTAAAAACTGACCAAAAAATTGCCACAAAAATTTGCCTAGTAAAAAAAAGGAGGGGGGGCGGGGTGAATAGGGGTCTCGGAATCTGGTGATAAAAAAATTTTTTTTCTAAAAAAATCAGCCGATCCGCGCAAAATTTTGCAAAAAAACGAATCCCAAATCATGATAGCAATCGATAATAAGAAAATCATAAAAAAATGCTAATTCAAGACCCGCTGACGCCATATACGTTTTAAGAATCCGGCAATCTGCTCTATTTTTTCTTTAAATCCGTAATCCGTGTGCCATTTTAGGCCCAGATCTGAAATGGAAAACTTGTTGGTCGCGGCACTTAAAAATCTTTCTAACCTTTACGGAATCTTTGGAAGATGTTGTACTTGCTCAGTTACTTATAGACCTTTTAAATGTTATTTTATCTCAGGTCTTTGAAGATGCTAAAAAAAGAAAGATCATTGATGGCATTGCATGAATCAGATTAGTACTTCAAAAAAAATTTAGTTCAGTGATACTATCTCACTAAGAATCATTGCTACTAAAAAAAAAGCAATGTTAGCAGCCTTATTATAAGAAGTGGTATCAACCTTCAAAAAATAAGAGATGCAAACTATAGACATTATGGGATATCAGAAACAAAATCTATAGATTTGCAAAGTAAGCTGGGATACCACTCTACCCCCTGAAAAAAAAATATTGCTGTCAATCAAATCTCAAGTAATAATGGTAGAACATCAAAAAAATGTTCAAAGTATGTAATGCTTTCTGACCTAACAAAGTGTAGAAAAAAAATTATAATTAAAAGGGATTCCATAACATAATATTTTCATAAGTAAAAAAAAAGGTTTCATTCCTTGAAAAGTCCTGGAATGGAAAATGCACCAAAAAAAGGCACTTGTTGAGGAAAAAAAGAAGAAGCAAAAACAGGGACAAAAAAAAAGGGGGACTAAGGGGCTTTAGACCTCCTCCCCTACC